CACCAAAGTGGTATCGTCTGTCGGCAAGTCGAAAGGGCGCTTTCCTCGATGTTCTGCATCACAATTTCTGCTACAACAACAGAAACTGGAGACCCCATAGCTGTACCGTGTAACTGTTTGTAGTGTTTGCCGTTGTACTGAAAGTAAGTTGATGTCAGGCAAAGGTTTAGTAAGTCCATAATGTCCTCTGTCGGTAACGGTGGAGGGTCGGTAGATTGTAGGATAGCAGTCTCAGTATATTGTAGTGCCAGTTGAAGTGGAATACTTGTAAAAAGCGATTTCACATCAAATGACACTAGTTTGTAGTCGTCAGGTATCTGTACAGTCTTAGTGGCGTTAATGAAGTCCTCGGTGGATTGTAGTTTTCGTCTGGATTTGTCGGTGAGCGGTTGTAGTATTGTCGTTAGGTACTTGGACAGTTGGTATGTCAGAGAACCACAGAAGGAAACAATAGGTCGCATTGGGAAACCAGGTTTGTGTAGTTTCAGCAGACCATAAAGTTTCGGTGGCTGTGGTACTGAGCACCTTAGTCGGTAGTAACGCCATTCTGCCGTTCGGCCGTTCCGGCTTTTAGGGTTGCCCGAAATTGGGAAGCAATATTAGTGAGTATTCGCTTCGTTACTCGCTTAATTATACCCGTGTTTCGATGCCTTTTGTAAGTGACATTTTCCTTCCCAGCTAATTCATTAACAACTCAAATCAAGCAAATATTCTGCTACTACTCGTTATTCCATAAATTTGCGAAGCGATGCGACATGCGTAGCAGTCGATGCGACAGTGTAGCATGATAGCTTTTTTCATTATGTAAATTTTCCGTTGTCGACTCGTCTCATTTTCAAACCTAAAAGTTCTTTGTTTTACACACCAATGTAATGCAAAGGATACTTACAGTACTGAATAACAAAGGCACATGAGTTGCACATTTTTTTCCACCGTGCGCGCAAAACAGTCTTATATGTGCGCCTGACTACCGTGCGTCTGAGCGTATGTAATTCGTCTTCGCAGTTAACACAGACGCGAGGGGTACTGTATCATTCATAGCTCTAAGAGACTACAAACCGAACTTCGTTAACAAACCGACCTGCCGACTAATCAGCCCCACCAAATCCGAGATTGGCAGCAAAGCAATCCTCGACAGAATCATCAACAAAATCACGAGAGCAACACGCCATCTGTGATCGAGTGGTTTAAAGCTATTAAAAAAAAAAAAAAAGCACCACAGTTTTATTTGCTTTGACATCGAAGAATTCTACCCCTCCATCAGCCAAGACCTCCTGAACAGAGTACTCGACTTTGCTTCAGCTTACGACGTCACCAACGACGAAGAAACATCATGTAACACATGCAAAACAGTCGATCCCTATGCACAAACAGCAACCTTGGTAAAAGAAGGTCGATACAACATTTGACGTCCCAATGGGCAGCTACGACGGTGCTGAAACATGCGAGCTAGTAGGAAGCCTTTCCTCCTTTCCCAACTTCGAAACATCAACATAAGACTTTACCGAAACGACGGACTGGCCTTTTCAAACGCCACACCGAGAGAAACAGATAACAAAAAATTTGTCGAGGTTTTTTCGACGAGGCGTCGTAAGAAGTTGTTTCGTGATGGTAGAGGAATATTCAACCATCGCAGAACGATTTCTCACAACGCCTCGTCGAAAAAATCGAGTAGTTTCTACGCACAATGCACTGGAAAGCTTACTTCTTCTTCAACTTTGATACGACCACTCGCTCATACGACTTCAAGTCTACCAAGAACCCCTCTCGGATCGACTAGTTAAAGGAATTTGTAGATGACATGCTAAAGATGATATTTACAAAACATTTTAAACATTTAGACTGAACAGTTTTTCAGTTATTCTCAACAGATTTTTTTCGGTTTTAGAGCATTTTTGTTCAAATAAAGGTAATCTACTTTTACTTTTGAAAAAGTAAAAAAATCAAACATTTTCAACACTAGGTAAACATCACCATGAAGATTAAATATTCTAGCCATGTAAATAGCTCAATGGCATTAAATTTTTTGATATTTTTTCCAGTAAATACTTTTAAAAGAAATTATTCCCTACCTAAGATATTAACCTTTTTCTGTCTTTACTTTCATCCATAAATACTGTTAAATGTTCTCAGCTATTATTCAGCAACTAAGTTTTGGTTAGGAACATATTTTCAATTCAGGTTTGCCTCAAAATCCATAATTTCAGTCAAAGGTAGTGTTAAATTAACTGTGGCATGTGAGAGTGAAGAAATACTTAAAGATAGCTTATTTCATTGTTCTTTCCCAAGACCTCTATACATGATATTATGCTTTAAATTTTCATATCAGGTGAGGCACAAAGTGCTAAATATATTTCTGTGTACCTTTGCTCTCAGGTAGTTTTCCTGTCCTTGAATTTTCAACCATTGATCTTGAGGAAAAACTAACTGAACTACGCATGAAGCTTCAGAGGTCCAGAATGGAAGGTGAATATAAAATGTTTATTGATTCATTATCAGA